TGGTGTTCCCTATGCCCCCCCTAACCCCATCAGAGACCCTCCAAGCAGATGGTATCACCTCCTTCTTTTTATGAACAGAGAAACAGACTGAGCAAGGATGCTGAGGAACACCGGTACCCACTGGACAGGAGCCCTGGGTCAGTCTGCCAGCATCCCCAGGGTGAGGGCTGGGTTTGAATGCAGACTGGAGGGCGTCTCTGAGTCATCCCCAGCCACCTGGAACCGCTGCCTGGAGGAGAAAAAAAAGGTAGAAGCCAGAAGCTTCCTTTCCCAGTCAACCTGCAATCAACAGAGGCATGGCTTTCCCAATCAGATGCACCAGCACCCAGCAATGCAAGTCCAGACACGTGAAATCTGTTTTCTGGGGAGAAGAGTAGAGTCCCAGTGCCCCGGGCAGGCCTCGTGTTAGTGGGGTGAGCGTGGGGTCTGTGCCTGGCAGCAGCAGCAGCAATCGCATCTCTGTAGGAGCAGTCTGGTGCTGCCCTGTGGGGTTCTCCCTGCGTCCTCGCTTCCAGGCCATGGACTTTGTGCAAAAGTAGTCCAGGGAACCCCTTCTAGACACATTACTGCCATCTGCTGGGAAGTTGCTATGATATACAGATCTAATGTATATTGTAAAAAATGTACAAATCAGTGTAGGGTGTGAAGGGCACCCCTCAACGGTGCCACTATTGTGCAGTACGCAACCCGCACAGCTGATCTGGTGGCCCTGAAGGCCTGGCTCTTTGGCCCTGGTGGGAATTCTGTGAGAGACTTAGTTCCCTATAATAAACGCCTTTGCTACTCTAGCTGCTTAGAGTGGGTTCTGGTGTTTGACAAAACTCTGACTGATACAACAGGGACATGTATTTATGGTGTGTGCTTCCTGGGGCTAAATCCCACTGGTCAATGGACTCCAAATCCGCCGAGAAGGCACTTACGTTACTCGGAGGGTTTGTGCTTAATTGGTTAATTTTTAGAGGAACACCAGAAAGGGGTCTGATTCACTCTTCCTTCCTTATTCCAGAAAATGATTTGTTTATTCATTTGCTTCTGTTGTCAGGGCCAGAGTTCATGGTTCAATAGGGGAACCACAGGGATGAAAGTGAGAGTGTGCGTTATAAATATTCCAGCAGGGAGACCCGTGGGGAAGATGGCTTTGCCGGGTCTTGTCCATGCACTGCCATGTCTGCTATTGTTACAAGGAGGATGACATCAGCCTGTGTATCATTTGTCTGATGATTGTGTGTGTGCACGTGTGTGCATGGGTGTATGTAAGTGTGTGTGCATGTCTGGCTGCAGGTAAAGTGATCAGTTTTCAGGTTTTCCAGGGTTGTCCGATTTGAGATGTCTTGTCCTTATTTGTGAGGCCATTCCTGGACCCATATTTTTTTGGCTTAGGCCATGTGGGTGCTACCGACCAAGGTCACCGCGCCTCTGCCCAGGATGTAGCGAGGAGGGAAAATGAGTGGGGCCTCCCCAGGGAATCCTCTCCCCATCAATTCCTGGAAATGCATGTTTGACTCAGTCCTCAGCACTGCAAACCTGAAGGGAGGGAAGGAGGCTATAGGCCTCCTGCATCTGGGATCGGAGGGGCGGGGCGAGGGAGGGAGGTGAGGGAGCAGGAGGCCCTGGCTGGCTGGTAACTGCCCCCTGGTCTGATTTCAAGGCCAGCTGTCCAAATTAGCCACCCGATTTGCTCCTGAGGCCTGACATCGCTTAGCTCAGGGTGTTTCTTTCCAGCCCGGAGGAGGCACAGGGGCTGCTGAGGTCAGGAGAGGGAGCCCGTGAGTCGCCTGCACCCTGGGTGGCTCTGGTCAGGGTTGGAACAGAGGGGAGGGCAGAACCTACATCCTGAAGGGCAGCTGGGGTAGGAAGGGGCACCTGGAGGAGAGAGGAGTGCACTGGGGGGTCGGGAGGTGGGACCCCTGGATAGTAACATGCTTGACTTCAGAATCTGTCCCAGGTCCCTAGAGGGCCTCTGCGTGTAGGTTGCTTTTCCCTCCTGCAGGGCCTCCTCCCTGGCTGCTCCTGGGAAGGACAGACTCTGCAGAGGAGGGGCCTGTGGCAGACAAGGCCTCCCTGCCCCGCCCTCTCTCTTTCCCTTAGAAGCTCCAACTCCCCCAGCTTTCAGAAGGGAGGGTGCACACGGTGGGGGGTGGGGGGGGGGACACCCAGTGGTGCTGCTTCTGGAAATACGCACCGCAGTAGTTCAGAGGACCTCCGGGAGGAAGTGCTGGCAGGGTCCCAGGAGAGAAGGAACGTGTGGGAGAAAATGCTTGTCGGGATGTGGCCCTTGCAGGTGGACACCTTCCGAGGCCCTGCCCGTTCCTCTGGAAGGGCAAGCCCTGGGCCAGAGCCCAAACATGAGACCTCAGAGGACTTTTACACCATGCAAAGGTTACTCAGGGCTCTTTCTTTAGCGTTCAGTCCCCAGTGCCCGTCCCCCAATGGGCTGGTTCCCTCCGCTGAGGGGTGTTTGGGTAGAGAACTTGGAGAAACACTGATGTACTCAACCTCCTTTTTATTAGAGGAGAGGGGAGTCAAAACCAGAGTAGAGAAGTAATTAACCTGAGGACGCACAGCTCAGAGGGGTCTGGATTTGAAACCCAGGCTTGTCCTTTCCTCTGTACCAAGAAGCGTTGCGCTAGGTTTATAGGAGCGCTTACTATGGCAAGCAAGGGGAGGGGCACAGAAAAGGGGCTCCGGGCTGGCTTTGGTTATCCGGAAAATGCAGTTCAAAGGACAGTTTCATTCAGAATCTGTGCTCTGGGCTCTGAGTAGAGCTGACCCCATTCAAAGGCAGAGTGTGTTTCCTTACCTCTTTCTGAATCCAGCAGTCCCTCTTTGAGGAAAAGGCTCAGGTGAGAAGAGAAGTCCAACTCCAGTGCCAGGGAACTCGAGGAAGGAGGCCCAGGTAGCAGGGCCACCCGCAGACCCCCTGGACACCACACCAGGGAGCCAGTAGGAATGGTTGCGTTAAAACGGTCAGCAACACTTCGATGTTCTCTTGCTCACATACCACAGGCTGTATCTGCACATGCCTGTGTATATGCGTACACACACACACACACACACACACACACACCTCACACTCAGGCTCCCAGATGTCCAAAAGCTTATGATCAAACAGTGGCTCACAAAGCTGAAATGCAGGAGACCATTAAAGAACTGAGTGCTGGCCACCCCATCAGTCAACCACCCACTGGCAACCAACATGAGAACGGGCAGGGGGCGTCCACGTTCACCAGGGCATTGAGCAGGGGTAGCTTTCTTTCCCTCAAAACACTGTCCTCCAAACGATTAAATAAGGGCCAAGGGTTGTGCTGTGTTGGAAAGGTGTCTTTGACATTATTGCAAGTGTATGACACCCAATCGTCAAAACGTTAAGCCACGAACGTCTACAGATTGGCTTGTTGCTGTCACCTCTCAATATAATTTAATCAAGTCAAGGAATACTGTTTAATAAATAGGTCAGAAAAGTAGCTGAGAGTTTTCTCGGCGGGATGCGGCGTGCGACCAACGTTACGGAAGATTGTCCCTTGAATCACTAAGGCAAACTTTGTTGAGAGTCATTTTACATAAAGCAATCACATAAAAAAAAGAGTTATAAATAGAAAAAATCCCAAAGTTCTCCCACAGACAGACAGGGAAATCGGAACATCCAAAAATAAAAAAATAAAAGGGAAACCAAACCAAACAACCCCCTGCCCCACAACCCATTTGCTTCAGGTTCTCCTTGAACGTACAGTACTCGGCATCTTTGGATATTTTACAATGTACAGCTCCAGACTGCAGCCAAGAGAAAACAAAGAGAACTAACCAGTCATCTGAAAAAACGGAGTTTATAAGAAGGCGTTACCTTTACAAAATAAAAACAAAAGCCCGATACCACTGGATACCAATGAGTTCATTTCCCTTGTTTTCTTTTAAAGTTTCGGTCAGCCCCAATCCCCTGGCTTGGGGGGACATGGGCATGTCGGCAAGTGTCAGGAAAGGAGACAGAAATCTAAGAGGTGGCTGCCCAAGCAGTGACATGTGAAGATAAGAGGGTGTCCGAAGCAATCCATCCCCTCTGGGCGTAATGGCATCTGGGGGCGTCTGGCGTCAGGGGTCTCTTCTGGGGAGCTGGGGGCGTGACAGAGTCCGTGGTCTTCTCTGGCCTTTTTGTTCGTTGTGTTTGCAGGAAGAAGCCAAGGCGAGAAGAAGAGTAAAGTCTCGGGGGCCCACAGCTCTGGGGCTGGGAGCATCAGCCTGTGTGGATGAACGCTCCTCCTTTCCTGGCTACTGGGAAACAAAAGCAAACTCAGCAAGGAAAGGGAGGGAAGGCAGGAGAGGGGAGAGAGCAGGAAGGCACTGGGCCAGCAGAGCTGTCTTCCTTCTCAGGACCTGCTACAAACTCGAGAACCAGGGAGAGTGTGTGGACAGCCCACCTCACAGAGCCCGTCAGACCCATGTTGGAGCCTAGGCTCAGCCTCCCTGCCCTGAGGGGAGCCACACACCCCAGCTTCATCCCTGGAGGGAAGGGTCGAGGGTGTTCAAATGCAGCCAAGGGAAACCCACAACTTGAAAAGCAAACAGGTAAACCGGGGGAACCAGGAGTTTGGTCTATTTCCAGGGATCAAAGTAGAGGCAGGCGGTTGACCGGTGTCAAGACAGGGTCCCCATCCCTTCTTTGTTGACCTCAGGACTCCCTACAGCAAGCATGTCAAACTCAAAGGCGAACACAGGCCAAATAAAGAGGCATGTGGTCCGCGGGCTGCGAGTTTGACATGCTTGCCCTGCAGCTTTGGAGGGGGTGCGTGGAGGTGGGGTAGATGCTAACGTCATCACAGACATGCACAGCAGGCTGCCCAGAGAACAGAGGAGAATGTGTGGTCTTCCCCAAAGCTGCCTGTGGCCTGTGGCCAATCCCCACCCAGCCCTCTCTCTGTCACCAGTGTCTAGTTTGGCCACATGTCTCACCTGTGCTAATACAGAGGTGGATGTGATAAAACTAACTCCCATATTCCAGCCATTTTCACCCGCTGCTGCCCTCACAAGAATTGCTTCTGGAGGAACAGGCACGTACACGTGGGTGGGTGGTGGGAGAGGAAAAACTAAATCACCAGCCCCCCTTCATAGGAGTGTGAAACTGGGGTACAGAAAGCTGACCCGTTCAAGGTCACAGGACGGTGAGGAAAAAATGGGCCCAGACTCCAGGAGACTCGCTCCTGACTCCAGGAGGCCTCCCTGCCAATAGGACCCACCAGCGCAGTGTCCGCAGGGACTCTGCTTAGGCTGTGGGGCTCAACCAGGGGTGTGCCCAGGCCCCTCCCCTCATCTCTGCTGCATCTGGTTTGCCTCTGGCCCAGCCTCCTCCCTGCAGGCACAGCTCGGGAGTGCGTGGGGCACCCAGCGTGGGGCACCCAGCGTGGGGCACCCAGCGTGGGGCCTCCTCCGAGGCTGGGACCCTGTGAGTCCCGTGTGAGAGCCAGACAGTCAGGGAGAGGCTGGCCCCGCTGAGGGGAGATGCCCATCTCAGACAGAAGCAAAAGGGAGGCAGCTGCCTCAGGAGGCCCGGGAAATACCATTGCTGCTGACATATATTTCATTTCTTTCTTGTGATTTTGGAATAAGTTCCGATCCGCTGGATGGGGCAGGTGGGCCCGCTGGGAGAGAGGCCAGGGCAGCTGGACTGGGGAGGACAGGACCAGCCTAGTTGTTGGCTTCAGACATGGAGGCCACGTGATTGAGGCCGGCGAGCGCCGGGAGGCCGGCCAGGCCCGCGGCCCACGGGTCAGGCAGCGGGAAGTAGGGCCTGGACGCGGCCACGTTCTCGGCCAGCGCGAAGGCCAGGAGGCCGCCTGCGTTCCTCTCGGCCTCCAGCTGGGCGCGCCCGAACAGCTTCATCTGCGTCTCCTCGAACTGCCGCTCGAGCTCCTGCAGGCTCAGCGCGCCCTTGGGCGCCGCCAGGAAGTGCTTGGTGGGGCTGGGGCCCGGCAGGCACATGGCGGCCCCGCCCAGGTGGGCGCCCACCTCGCCCAGCGCCGGGGGCATCACGAAGGCCGCCTTCTCTGGGGCCGGGCCCCCGGGCCCGAAGAGCAGGCTGGCGGCCCTCCAGGCGGCGGGCTTGCGGCCCCGCCGCGGCCGTGCCATGCGGCAGCTCTGGCGCTTGATGTGGCGGTGCAGGTGGTCGGAGCGCGTGAAGCTCTTGTAGCAGAACTCGCACTGGTAGGGCCGCACGCCCGTGTGGATGCGCATGTGATTCTTGAGGTCGTAGTTGTGCACGAACTTGGCGTTGCAGTGGATGCACAGGTAGGGCCGCTCCCCCGTGTGCTTCCGCATGTGGATCTTTAGCTTGTCCTGCCTGCAATGCAGAGCCGGGAGTCAGTCCCCGCCGGGAACGCCGGGAGCCACTCCTAACCCTCTGCCCCCTGCCCCCTTCCTCCAGAACAGGCTCTACTGCCCTGGTCTCAAACTCCAGGAATGGCACCAGTGCCCCACCCCAACAGGTATGGCCGTCACCTGGCTCAGCGGGCTGGAGAAAGAGCAGGGTCCTGAAAGACCTCCCCAATTCAGAACCCCTCCTACTGCTGAGCTCTGAGCAACAAAGCTCCCAGTCTGTCAGGGCCGGCTCACAGACTGGACAAAGGCCTGCTGGCGACACACATCCCCACAAGTCCGCAGTCTGTCCTTGGTCCTCCGGAGGGGCAGTGACCTCTGAAACTGGGTTGCACCTTAATCTCATGCCCACTTCCCTCCAGTTTGTCATGTGCTTCGGCCCAGAGCCCCAGGGCCCATCCCAGTCGGGCTGTGAGGCTCCGTCTGTCCTCAGGGCTAACCTGGGAGGCTACAGAAGCCGGCACACCTCGTTCAAGTCTCCTGCATGGTGTTTTCTTATCCCAAGCCTGGGCTCTGCTCTTTGTCTGCAGACAATTCCAGGGTTTACAAAAGAGCCAGGTGCAACAAGAATGCAGCCTAATCCACGGCAAAGCTCCTGAGGGTGTAAGTGGGATTATTCAGAGGTAAGGAATGGTGTTGGGTGGGGCTCGCACTGGGGGTTGGGAGCCCCTGCTCCAGCTGCAGACCTACCGCTAACATGCTGGGGGACCTTAGGCAAGTTACCTAACCTCTCTGCACAGAGCCGAACCTCCGCCCAGGCGTCAATTTCTACTGTCCAGGGCTGACGAAGAGAATGAGGGTTTGTGTTGTACTACATTCAACATGCCTCCTGGTGGTCTTGAGAGGAAAGCTGACATCCTAGGGTTTTGTCCTCAAGACTGAGCCTGCATGAACCAGCTCAAGGAGTGGTTCAGCCTGGCTGCGGTTGAGTCAGCTGGGCTGCAAGGACTCCTCTCAGGATCATTCTGAAGCCTTCCCTGGCCAGACCCGCAGGCTGGGCAGCTCTGTGTCCAGTCTGCCACCTCCACCCTGCAGGCCTGGCTTGGGTGGAACATCTGCCTGTAATTCTTGGCTCGGCTTTGAAGTGGGAGCAGATGTGGAGCTCAGGTGTCCACCCTAAAATGGCCAGATTTAAATAAACCGCCTTTAACACAACCCCAGGACAGCAGGAGCAGAGGGTCTGGTCTCCCAGGGTCCCCTGGCCGCTAGAGGTCTCACTGGCTCTCATTTTCCGACTGGTTCCTCAGGGGCCAGGCAGGAGGTTCTTGTGTACACTGGCAGGGACCAGGGAAGGGGACCAGACCTGCCCCTTCCCCCTGTGCTCACAGGAAGGCTGGAGGGTACCTGGGAAATGGACGTAGGCATGGGGAGTGGGATGGGCAGAGAGGAGGAAGTCAGCTGGCTGGTGTCCTCCACACACCAGCCCCTCCTCTCTTCCACATCCCCTGTCCCTCCCACAACCACCAGCTGCCCCTAGGCTGCGTAGTTCCCTGATGTGACATCCCATGCCCCCTCCCCCCAGCATGCTGTAACCCTCGTTTCCTCCAGATGATTGGATGTTTGAGCAGTAAGAAGCCTTAGAGAGCATCTGAGCCAGCAGGCCTCAAACTTGATATTGTATCAGAACCATTACCAGGGCTCGATGAAACGGTGCTGGGCCCCACTCCCAGAAGTCTGATTCAGTGGGTCTGGGATGGCGAGGACAGAGAATTTGCATGTCTAACAAGCTGATCGATGCCACCACTGCTGCTGCCACCGCTGCTGCTGCAGCTAGTGAGCCCATGGACCACTTTAAGAACCAGAGGCCTAGGCTCATTCTTCACTCTGCAGGTGGGCAAACTGAGGCCCTGGGAGGGGGACAGTCACCAAGGTCATCCAGAGGTTAATGGCAGAGCTGGGACTAGAATCAGGCCTGTTGGCTCCCAGCCCAGGCCTCTTTCCTCACCACTGTAGGAAGTACAGTGGGGTGCACAGTGCACTTGAACCCTGAGAGCAAAGCTGCACAGTCCTGAGGGATATGTCTTGGGACCCCACCCATTCACCCAGGCCCTGATGGAAACTGGCATTAGGTGGTCAGCTAGGCTCACCCACTGGCTGTCTGACTCCTGAACTCACCAGGCGGAGGACTCAGCTTAGAGCAGTGGTTCTCAACCTTCTGGCCCTTTAAATACAGTTCCTCATGTTGTGACCCAACCATAAAATTATTTTCGTTGCTACTTCATAACTGTAATGTTGCTATTGTTATGAATCGTAATGTAAATATCTGATATGCAGGATGGTCTTAGGCGACCCCTGTGAAAGGTTGGTTCGTCCACTAAAGGGGTCGAGACCCACAGGTTGAGAACCACTGGCTTAGAGTCATCAGGGGCTTTAAATATAGCACCTCATTTAAGCCTCGCCACAACCTTATAAGGTAGATTTCTTTTCAAAATCACTATTACACATAATTTGTAGTATTGACCCTGAGGGGGTCAACCTCAAATAATGGACAATGCAAAGGGTAAATCTCCTAATAGCCAGGGCCTACTATACATAACCACAGATTCCCCCAGGCTTTTCATTCGGGCATCTAAAATAAATCACATTTCAATGGCGATTGGCTCAAATGTGTGAGAAGTACCAAGAAGGTGGTTATATCTTCCTTTCATAGAGCACCTGCTATGGGCAGGTGAATACACCATTTCAATGACCCTGGAAAGCTGTTATTCAGAGGCAGGTTATGGTGTAGGGGTGGGTTCCCTATTTGGAGTCTTGGAGCCGCTGCTGCAGCAGCAGACCCACCACTCACTTGCTGGGTCACCTTTAGGCAAGTTATTTAACCCTCTGCACAGAGCTGAACCTAGGGCCAGACATTCATTCTATCGTTTGGGGCTGATGAGGGACTCTAAGTTTGTGTAGGTTCGATTCAACACACCTGGAGTAATTTCCTCACTTAGAGGAAGAGTCGGAGCACAGAGAAGTCAAGCGGCTTTCCCAAAGGTATCCAGCCGGTGATGGGCAAAGGGACCTGGGAGCTACTTGGGGTGTGGTTTGTTTGCAAGCTGTTCTGAGGTTGAAAACAGGTGGATTTTCAAACTGGGACTTTCAGCCCAAGGCCTATAAGGGCTGCCCCAGAAAGTAAAGACCAGAACAGTCAAGACGAGGCATCTGCTGCCAGCTTTCTGCCTCTGGGCCCAGGAGACTGGGACATGCTGCGGTAGGAACTCAGCCCTGGGCAGGGAGCTGGCCTAATGGAGGCCTTTCGTGGGAGCAGGGTGGGGCGGTGAGTCAAGTGGGCAAAGCTCATGATAAGTTAGTCCTGGAAAAAAAACTTAGAGATCATCTGGTTTACTAAGAGCCTGTTAACAGGTCTGAGTCAGGGGGCCCAGTGACCTGTGTTATGAGCAGTACATTTCTCGGGACCTTGAAAATACTGATCTAATCCAGTTCCCTCACCTTCAAGATGAGAAAACCACAGACCAGAGAGGGGAGCGCTTCTAAGATCACACGGCCACCTTATTCCTGGAATGACCTTTTCACCAGGCTGTACTGAACATGCGCCTGGGAAATGGACGTGGGGTGGAGGGTGGGATGTGTGTGCACATTGGCAAGGCTGGGCCTGGCATACTCCCAGAACCACAGCAGGCCCTTGGCTGGCGCGGGCCCCCATTTCCTGACCTCTAAAATTCGGCTGGGCTGTATCATTTTGACCTCTGGTGTTCTGTGCTTGCATCTGAGTAAAGGAGTATAACCGAATTTCTTTCTCGTGACATGGCTTCATATTTGTAGCATGGCTCTTCTACGCCTGCTTCTTCGAGGATCTAAGCTGCCCGCGGAGACAGCATGAGTGTCATTGGAAAGTGTTCTAGCCTGAACCTCAGGAGCTGAGCTCTTGGTCACCCCCCGCCAGGACTGGAGGCCTGTGGTCCTGCTTAAAACCTCCCGAGGCCTCCTCCGTCCAGTGGCCTAGGTGCTAACTCACCGTTAGCATGGCTTTCCAGGCCTGTGCAAGCTCAGCCCTTCCAATCACTTACAAGATGACTAAGTTCTGAGGACGCCCAGTGACCAGTTAGCAAGAATGTAGTGTGAACTTCAGAGTTGCTAAGAGAGTAGATCTTAACTGTCCCACCACACCCACACTAGAAAGGTGACGATGTGAGGTGATGAGTGTTAACTAACCTTACTGTGGGAATCATTTCGCAATAATACACATATCAAATCATCACAGTGTATACTTTGAACAGATACAATGACATATGTCAATTATATCTCAGGAAAGCTAAGAAAAGATCACCCCACCTACTTCGCCAGCCCCGCCCCTCCCCGTACATAGTACTGCACCCACACACCACGGACATGCGGCTCCCCTTGCAGGCCACATGCCGGTCAACGCTGCATCTTTGAACTCCTGCTGGCATGAGTTGGACTTCCAGTCCCCCCTCCCATGAGGAAATGAAGGCAAACTGGATTAGATCAGAATTTTCAAAGCCCTGCGAAATGTACTGCACATAACACAGGTCACTGGGCCCCCTGACTCAGACTACGAATCAGACATGTTAACAGGCTCTTGATAAACCAGATGATCTCTACGTTTTTTCCAGGACTAACTTCCCATGAGCTCTGACCACTCTACTCGCCGCTCTGCCCTGCTCCCACGAAAAGCCTCCATTAGTCCTGTGTCCGTCCATAGCTTTCCTGATCGTGGGCAATACGTAAATGAAGTCATAAAACTGGGAGCCACCTTAGGGAGCACCTCCTCCTACCCCCTCATGTTACACATGGGGAAACTGAGGCCTAGAGTGGGGAGCAGACTTGGCCAAAGTTGCACAGCTGGTTAGAGGCAGAACCAGACCCCGGACCTGGGAGGTGCCGGTCGCCTAGCGCTCTCTCCGAGGTGCCTCAGTCACTGAGAGATGCTGGCTCCCCAGCCACTCACTCAGCTGCTCTTCTGTGTGCCAGTGCCAGGTGCTGCTTTCTCGGCCCTCATCTAGCACGAGGGCACAGATGGCACTGGCCCCTGCTTTGATAGGAAGTGCACGACACTGAATGGAGTGGATGCTCCTGGAGCGTTTGTTGACTGACGAATGACCTGCTGGTGCAGGGCCAGTTTTCAGAACCCAAAACTCCAGCATGGTCCTTTCTCACCCTGATCCCCTTGTCTGCCATCCCCTCCCTGTACCCTGCACCAGGGACCAGCCAGGTCACGTGCACCCGAACCTTGATCTGCACCTCCTTCCAGCTGGGAGAACTCAGCATCGAAAAGATATGCCTGCACTTGTGAGCACCCCGAGGGAAACGAAGGGACCACAGGTCTCGCCCAGGACCTCGGCCTCCACGAACGCCCCTGTCAGGCTAATGCTTTCCCAGCACCATCCTCTCAGACTTCATGGTAACCTGATGGTCGGAGACCAACTCTTCCTGCTGCCACTGCTAATGACATTACATTATCTTAATAAGGTCCCCGGAGCTGCCAGGACTGGGAAAGCTAAAAGGAAAATACAGAATGAAAAAGAAGCCACGCTCCTGGCCTTGTTCGGAGAGCAGACAGCTTTTTTGGCTCACCCTAGAGGCAGGGGTTGAAAACTAGAAGTTGCAACCTTTAGGGGCTGCTGGGAGGGGATCCAGTGGAAACTGGGGAGACCATGGCTCACCAGAGAGTGACTTTTCAGAGCTCAAAGGTTGTCCATCTTTTCCCAGGGACAGGATGGGGCTTCTGTTGCTCAGGGGCCGGTCCTTTCGCAAATCCTGCAGTTTCATGCCTTTATTACCTGCCCGGCCGGACGTGGCTGGAGCATCTCTGATAGCCGGGCTGCAGGGGCTGCAGGGGCTGCAGGAGGGAAGGCTGCCCAGCCATGCTCTCTAGGTGCTCCCCTCACAGGCTGCCTGCACCCAAGGACCAAGGTGACAGACATTAGGGGAAATTAAGGGTCTTCTGAGGCCTTCACAGCCCAGGGCCAGGCCCTGTTGGCGGTGATGAGGGCTGCAGTGTGACAACCAGGGGGACAACCTGTGGTCTGGGTGGGCAGGGAAAATGCCCACCGAGGCAGCAGCATCCCTCTGCATGCAGAGAGACAACGCCTCTCATCTTCCCGGCTCATTTGCTCCCTTTTCTTCAAGGCCCATGCTAGGGGCCAGGTCTGGCAGAACCCTGTGGTCCTGACCTTCAGCCCTGCTTCCAGACTTTCCGGGAATAGCGGGACTCCTGATGAAGAGGACCTGGGGGAGCCTTGATCCAGACTTCTCTCTCCCAAGGTGGAGCCAATGGGATCGGTTGTGGTAGAAGCCATCTCTCTCTTTAAAATTTTTTTAAAAAAATTGATTTCAGAGAAAGACAGATAGAAACATCAGTGGGAGAATCATTGATCAGCTGCCTTCTGCACACCCCCCACTGGGGATCGAGCCTGAGGCTTGTGCCCTGACCAGGAATTGAACTTCGACCTCCTTGTTCATGGATCAATGCTCAACCACTGAGCCACACCAGCCTGGCGAAGCCATCTCTTTTTAAGGAAGAAAATGGTGACATTGGACAACTCCTGGAGCGTGTAAACACAGACTCAGGCAAGGCAGAGGGCCTCATAGTGGTGACCAGAGCTAAGTGAGGTCAGCAAGGGGCCACAGAAGCACAGTCTGGTTGAAGTCTTTGAGTCCCTGCTCAGGGCTCCAGGGATGTCTCATCTATGGAGCAACCAGTGGTGGGACAACTGGTGGGACTGGCTGAAATCTGGAGCTGATTCAGAGGTGAGGGCTCCGACTCCAAGGAATAGACAGCAATGGTGGCCCCTGTTCTTGGAGAAGCGTACCATGGAAGGTGCAGGCAGCCTTTAGGGACAGAGCATGGGAGGACCCCAGGCCCCTCCACCCTGTTGTGGCTGCTGAAGTCATGAGGAATGACGTCCTCATGGGGTGTGGACATTCTGGGCATTGGCACCTGAGGCCATAACTTGGAGCCTGTGACACAGGGTCACCTTGCAGGGGGAGGGCAGGCCCTCTCCAACATCCCCCAAGAGGGAGGGATGGGTCAGCATTTAGCAGAAAAGAAGGAGGCCTGGCCAGAGAGCAGAAGCTCAGTTGAGATTCAGAAAGGGAAACTGTCCAAGAGGGGGATTGAAGGCAGCAGGTCTGGCTCCTTCGGCCTCTGGGGGCCCAGTCCCAGGGAGTGGCTTGGCCTTGCAAGGGAGCCTGGGAATTCTGAGTTCAAGAGGCAGCAGCTGTTGCTTTAAATGGCTGCTGAAGAGCCCCCAGCTGGGGAAGGGGAAGAGGTGTTACGAATGGTGGCTGCAGGAAGTTAGCCACAAGGAAGGTCCCTAGAGTAGGGCTGCAGGGGGATTTGGCTGCAGACAGTTACAGGAAGCCCCGATCTGGGCAGGCCAGCGTTGGCATTCTCCACAGACCAAAAAGGATCCGTGCAGGGCAGCTCTAGGGAGGTGGCAGGAGGGACGCCAGGAACCAGTGACTGTGAAGAATGTGCCAGGGAGGGGGTCGGGAGGTGTTCCACAGGGACAGCACAGCCCACAGGGACAAGTACAGTTCCTCTTCCGAAGGAGCCAGGAAAACTCGCTCCAGCCTCCCAGGAAGGCGGGCGGGCCAGAGCTTTTCTGATCTTTCTCAGGCCTGTCAGAGACCAGTGGGAACCCTGAGGGGGAGGTGCTGACGGAGGCTGGAATGCAGCTCGCTGAGGAGGGGAGGGCAGGGCAGATGGCTGGATGGCCAGGAGGTTACAGGCCATCTGACCTGGAGGGTGGGGAGGCTGCAGGCACGAGGCCACCCTAAGTGATCACCAGGAATGTGCTGGGAGGAAGGGTTCTGGAATGCAGACCTCCTGTGCAACCCAGCATCGCTGCCCAGTGGGAGGCCTACTCAGAGAACCTTCTAGTGTCAGGAGGGAGAGGAGTCTGTCCGACCACGTTTAAAACTTTCCCGAGGGAAGGCAGGGCCCACCGACTGGTGTGGTCCTCACAGACACTGCAGGTGGGAAAGGCCTGGAGGGGAGGAACAGGGAGGGAATAAAGGTGGAGACTTGGGGGGCTGGGCAGGGTCATGGTGCTGTGCCCTGAGACATGCATCCTGATGAAGCTGTGGACCTGAGTCCCTCCTGCCGGGAGAGGTGTCTCAATGGCAGCCATCGGCACAGGGGACAGACGTGAAAATTCGGGAGCTGGACCCTGGGTGGCAGGAGGGGAAGCTCCAGGCCACTCCAGGGCTGCCTGTCTTGGATCTGGCCTGGGAAGAGCGGCAACGCTCTGAAATCACTCCCTGGGGCTGGGCTGGGGAGTCACCGGCAGGAGATGAGTGAGCTGTGCTGGACCCGATGATGTTCTGGTTGGTCTCCCGTCTGCTATCCTGGGCTTTTGTCAGCCTCATTCAGGTATTCTAGCCAGGCCTGTGGGGCTCAGTGAATTCAGGAGGAGGTGGGTGGGAGAGGCAAGCATTGTCTAAGGCAGCATTAGAGTGGCAGGGCCAGTAATGAAAGACACCTGAGGGCAGGTGAATCCTGGGGAGGGAATCTGAGGTCCAGGTCCAGATTCTCCCCCCACTGTTTGCGCCAAGGGTCTGGGAGAAGTTCTGTTTGGGGGTTCCCTCACAGAAACACCTGTGCGAGGACCCCAAGGCCAGAAGTAGTCACCGAATGAATGAGCCCACTGAGCTATTTTGGCAATGCCAGTGTCACCTGAACATATATTTCTGATGCCCTTCTCTGGAAACCTCTGATAGAGTTCCAAGCCACCCAAAAACGTAGGTCTCGTTACTTCACAGAACTTGTGTTCCCCTGAAAAACATGGCCCTTATTCAACATTTGACATAATTCAAAAAATTTCGCTTTATCCTCAAAGACCAAAGGTTTGGGCCCATCGAAGAAGAGAATCAGAAGAACAAGCCCCCAGCAATTCCCACGGAGACATTTCCCAGATGCGGGCTGACGGCAGCACCGTTGGCAGACGTGTGGGTTTCTCGGGGTGAGCTCATTGACGGACAGTGGCCGTGTGGGGAAAGGACCTCATCGAGAAGGTCAGGGTCACAGGACAGACATCCACCAGACGCTGTATACATCCAACACACTGAAACGACCAAGCCCTGATGCAAGGCCGCCACCAGGACCGTCCCCACTGAGGACATGGCTGGGAAGATCAGTCTCACAGCACCAACACAACATACCAGGCCCATCAATACCTAGCAGTGGGCAAATCTGACCCTCACGTCCCACCCACCAATTTTGGATACAAAACTTGAGAGTTCTCTGTAGCCACTCAGTCACAGATTTTGCTGTCCTACGAGTAAGTCCCGGCTCTGCCATTTCCTAGCTGCACTTATGAGTGGCCAACCAGCCACGGAGGGGACGGAGTGCTCATCTGTAAACAAAGGCCATATAGCACCTCCCTGTCTTCAAAGGGCAGGGCTGGGGTGAGAGGATAGAGAATACACTTAGGCCAGCCCTGGCATGTTGAACATGCTCCAAATAAAATAGAAGGGCTGCACTCCACTCCACTCCTCGGGGGAACTTCAATTGGCTTCTGTGGATCTACACTGGGGAGGGAGGGAGGCCCAGTGAGCAAGGTACTGAGGCTCCTCACTTCTGCCTTACAGCTCTGCTCTGACCTGTTTTATATGTTTGCCTTTCACTTAATATTGTAGTTAAGAAAAAATATATTTTTAAAGAAACTATTTTCCCTTTTAAAAAGAGCTTGAAAATCACTGCGCCAAGTAATGCCTAGCACGCCTTCTCACAATGAATTTGACGTGCATCTAGGATGCAGTGGGACCTCCCCTGAACTGGGTCTCTCTCTCCATCCCTGCCCCACCCCGCACCCCCATCCCCTCTCTGCTGCCATCACTGCAGCCTCCGACCCTCTCCCAGCTGGGACCCCCACCTGGGGGCCGCCATGCGCACCTGGTGAAGCGGACCTCGCAGATGTTGCACATGTATGGCTTCTCCCCGGTGTGGGTCCGCATGTGCCGCGGCAGCTTCCCGGCCCCCATGATGACTTTATGGCAGATGGGGCACTGCTGAGAGGCCTTGGGCTTCAGCTTGCGCTCCTCCACCAGGGGCCAGGGTGGGAAGAGCCCTCCCAGGTGGGTGGCACTCAGGAAGTTGAGATAGGCACCATAGTCATTCTCCGCCTTGATGGAGCCCAGCGGCCCCCCGGGAAGGTCCGGGAACATGTCCTTGAAGAAGTCATTCGGGAAGGGCGGGGGCGGGGGCGGGGGCAGCTCCTCCTTCTCCTCTTCCTTGATCTTCCGATTCTTGATGACCAGGTCCAGGGGCCCACTGTCCATGGGCTGCTCGGGCAGCTGGGCAAAGGCACCAAAGTCCCCTGGCCAGAGGTGTGGGAAGAAGTCTGGGGCAAAGGGAGATAAGGAGGGTCTCCTGTCGGGGATGTTGGCTTTGGGGTACAGGTTCTCCCTCAGCAGAGATTCAATGGAGAAGTCCCGGATAACGCCCAGATGGCCAGGGCTGCTGGCCTGGAAGGAGTCCGGGAAGTCCCTGGGTGTGTCCGCATAGGCCTTCTCTGTGAGATGGTCCGCCTTGGAAGGGCTCTGGTGGCAGTTGATGTCCTGGGGGTCGGGCAAGTTTTCTTGATCAGCGAAATCCTCCGTATCGTCATCCTCTTCCTCATCCTCTTCCTCCTCCTCCTCCTCCTCATCCTCCTCGTCATCGTCATCCTCGTCATCGTCGTCGTCCTCCTTGTCGTCCTCCTCCCCGCCGTCCCCGCCAGGCTCCATGATCTCCAGGCACACGTTCACGATGCACTGGATCTCCAGCATCCTGGCGGCGTTGAGGATGTGCTTGACGTTGGAGGCGGTGATGGTGAGCGTGGAGGTGTAGGCGAACTCGAGGATGGCGGCCAGGGCCTCTGGCTGGACGAAGTCGATCTCGTAGACGTAGGGCTGGCTGGCTAAGGTGCCGGCTGTGAAGAGCTTTTTGAAGTACTTGCTGCAGGCCGCCAGGACGGAGCGGTGGGTGCGGTACTCCTGCTCCTGCACCACCAGCAGCACGTCGCAGAGCAGGCCATCGTGCCGCTGCTCGTTCAGGCTACACAGAACCTCGCTGCTGTGGTTGGGGAAGGGAATGCCGATGAGCTCGTCAATGCCATTGGCCATGGTCTCAGCCAGAGCCCTGCAGACGGACACAGAGAGGGAGACCGGGTTAGAGGATGCGGTCCCAGGAGGGGACACCCAGCTCTGGGATGCTGGACCAGGGAGGCCAGGCTGGTGGACATGGTGGCCCAAACCACCCCTGCCTTTGCTGAAGGCTCCCCCCGCCTCCAGCCCTCCTCCCTCTCGGCTTTTCTAAATCCCACCTGCAGTGCAGAGCCCAGCTCATAGGCTGGGGCTTTGCACGGGCCCATGGGGTCTTTTCCCGGACCCCTCACGGAGTTGACCTCTATGGGGCAGTTGGCATATGCTGCTTGGCAAAGGCTTGTAAGCTTCTCGTGGGCATGATTTCACTGAAGTCAACTTTGTTCATATGCAATGGTGAGACACCAGGACGGACAGCCACCTGACACTCAGCTGCTACTGTGAGCTACGTCCACTACTTCCTCACACAGCATCTGCGGGTTGAGGCCAAAGGGGGAATGTTCTCTCATGACGCAATGCTGCTGAGAAAATGCTCTGGTTTATTGCAAAACTCCTCTGACTCCTGTAACAGACTAACATTTGGCTACTGGCTACTGTTAAGGGCTGAGTTGTGTTCCCCACCAAATCCATAGGCTGAAGTTAGAACCTCCAGTATCTCAGAATGGGACTATGTCTGGAGGTAGGACTTTTGAAGAGGTGATTAAGGTTAAAATGAGGTCACCTGAGTGGGCCCTAATCCATTATGACGTGTCCTCATAAAAGGAGATGAGGACACAGACACAGAGGGAAGACCCTGTGAAGACACAGGGAGAAGACGGCCATCTGCAAACCCAGGAGAGAGGCCTCAGGAGAAACCAACCCTGCTGACACCTTGATCTTGGACTTCCAGCCTCCAGAACGGTCCGTGAGAAAGGTGCAGCAAGGTTCACTGAAGGAGGAGTGAGCTACCACCACACACCTGTCAGAATGGCTAAAATAACAGAGTGCTAACACCAAATGCTGGTGAGGGTGTGAAGAAACTGGGTCACTCATACATTGCTGGTCAGAGTACGAGTGGTACAGCCATTCTGTGATCAACTCAGCAGTTTCTTTAAAAACTAAATACGTATTGAGGAAATGACACCTTTTTCTCATGAAGCTTCCAAATGGGTAGTAGGGTCCTGACCCTCAGAGGGACCCTCCCCTCTGAAGACTGTTTGTGAAATGCCCCTTGGACTGTTAAGTGAAAAGCTGAAATCAGTAAAATCTCAGGAAATTAGAGCCATTTTCTTGCTCGCCAAAGGCAGTGGTTCTCAACCTTCCTAATGCCGCGACCCTTTAATACAGTTCCTCATGTTGTGGTGACCCCCAACTTCATTGTTACAAATTGAACATAATTAAAGCATAGTGATTAATCACAAAAACAATATGTAATTATATATGTGTTTTCCGATGGTCTTAGGCGACCCCTGTGAAGGGGTCGAAACCCACAGGTTGAGAACTGCTGCTTTAGAGATAAAAATGTTCTTAAATGTTATTTTAGGGGAAATGCTCACAATTCTTTAAGCTTTCCCCCACCTTCTTGCAGAGAGGAATTGAACCTGTTGGGCCATGTGTTGGTGGTCGGTGTCTCAGCCAAGCTCCCTGAGGGATGGAGACGGCTGTCCTTTCGCCTAAATGTCCCATCTCTGTGCTTTAGTAGCCACGTCGGCTGGAGCCTGGGAATCAGGGCCCACGGCTCTGAGACGTTGGGAGGCTGCTCAGCTCTCTGTGCTCCTGTGGTCTCATCTTGTCATGGGTGGTCATGGGAAATCTAATGACCAGTGTGCCATGACCATGAGAGGTTAGAAGGGCAAAGTGGACCTGGATGAGGAAAGGGCAACAGGCCGGGGTGACCCTGGACTCCAGGCTGCTCTGCCCAGCAGCCACTTCTCACAGTGGCCTGGTTGCAGCCTTTGTCCCATTCCTGGAGGAGGGGATGGAGCTGTGTAGCTGGGCTGTTTTTCCAGGCAGGAGGTGAGGGCTGACGCTTGCTATTTCATTGTCTCTTTGGGAAGACGTGTCCCTGCCCTTCACTCTGGGAGCTTCCCTGATGACCCTAAGATTCCCATGCCCTGGAGGACCCAGACAGCAGTGTCCCAAAGGGGTGGCCATGCCCCACCCCCACCTTCCCTCCTTCCCACCCAGGCCCTCCTTCCTTCCCCTCCCATCGCTTAAGCCAGGGCAGTTCTGTCTCCAAGAATAACATGCTCACGAAAGAGAATCACACACACACACACAACAAAACAAAACAAAGACTCTCAACAGCCAGGAGAGGCTTAGCCCAAAAGATAGTCTTTGGTACAAAGGGGATAGAAAAAGGTATAAAGACAGATCAGAAACCAAGAAGGAGGAGGGAAAGAGGGGAAGAGATGCTTGGAAATGGAGGAAGGAGATTCTAGGAGAAGAATGAAGGCAGGTGGAACCTTCGCAGGTGTGGTTCCGGCCATCAGGAGGCCTGCCAGGGCCTCTGCCCCCAGTAGAAGGTTCTAGAGCCCAGAATGTCCAAGTAACCCTGTCTGACAAAGGCAGCACTTCCCATGTCGGGCTTTGGTTTATTCAGCTGTAAAATGAAAACTTTGTTGGCTTGGGTAACTTCCTCGCATTCCCCTCTCTCCCTGCCACGAGAAGGGATCTTGCCCTCAGTTTACCACCTACAGACAGACAGGGTGCTTCTATGAGCAGAACAGAGAAGTGGTGGGGGTGGGGACATTGGAAGGGACCGGAGGACCTCCCACCACAGAAATGCATTGTAGGAATCTGGCTCCAGAAGTCCTCCACGACCAATTTCTTGAGTGTGACTTGAGTTTTCTTATTTGTGTCCTGTTCTAATAACCAAATGAAGCAAGCTAGCCAGCCAACATTTATAAGAATAGTCAATACTAGCTATCGTTTATTGAGCGCCTTCTACATGTCAGGCATCGCACCTCTACTCTTTCCTCAATCAATGGAATTCTGAAAGGTACACATTTGTATCATCATCTCCAACTTAGGGATAGAGAAAAGGTGTGGAGAGGGTAAGTGGCTTGCCCAATGCCACAAGGGTCTGAGCCAGGCTTTGAGCCCAGCAGTATTTGGTGCCAAAGTTCATATCCATCTCCTTTTACCACACTGCCCTCTACAGGGCAGGGAGATTTGAACTCTTCCCCCCTCCCCGCCCCCCCAAATGTTGTCTCTTCAGAGATTTGATCAGAGCCAGGGGTGAGGATGAGCTGAGACTCACACATGCCAGGGGCTTGGGGGTCTCAGTGCTGAGTGTGAATGATGGATCCCTGTGGGCTGGGCTTGTCTGAGCTGTGAAGGACAGAGCGGGTTATATTGGGTAGAGGGGGGTGTGCCTCACCAGGATTCTGAGTGGGATCGCACCAGAAGCCGCTCCCAGCCAGCACGTGCTGAGGTTGGCTGATGGTCATCTGACAACCCACAGCCCACGCGGAGGGGTGGAGGGTGAGAGCCCTGCTCTTAGGCCGCCCGTGTCCACATCCGACACCCACACCGATGGCCTCTGGGACGTGGTATTTCCGCCCTTGAGCTCAGTTTCCTCATCTGCACAATGGAGAGGATTATAGTGTCGACCTCACAGAGTTGCTCTATGGGTCAAATGAGCGAAGGCCTCCTCATACATAGTAGGTGCTCAACCAATGCTAGCAATTCTGAAGTCCAGGAAGTACAAGGCTCTTGGCAGTTCCCTTGAGCAGGGCAGCCACACCCCTTGGCCCCAGAATGCCCTGAAGCCTCATCATAGGTGTTTTGGCAGAGGGCGGTGGGGCCCTACTGGGAGCCAATTTGCCTTCCGCATGGTTTTGCAGATCCATCGACTTACCAGTAAGCACCTCACCCAACCAAAGACTCTGAGAACAGCCCTTACAAGTCCCCAGGCCACCCTGGCATGTGTGAGTCCTATTTGCTAAGGTTCATTCACATCTCCTAGCTCATGCACTCCTATGGGGCAGGCGAAGCTGGTATCAACTTTATACTCATTTTACAGATGAGGAAAATGAGGCACAGAGAGGAACCTGTGCTCAAGCTCACACGGCCAATCAGTGTCAGAGGTAGGACTAGAAGTAGGGTGTTCTGATGCCAAGCCTGTGCTTTCAGCCAGGTGCAGGCTTGTCTGGCTAATAGGGGCCCCATGTTGTAGGATTGGTTTTACAGGAACGTGAAGCACAGGGGCATAGGCAAAGTATATACTTCCACTGCCCTCAGTTTGCCTATCTGGAAAATGGGGAATTCACTGCTTAGATCTCACTTGCTCTGGGCAGGGCCTGTTTCTTATATGCCTGTGTCATTCCCAGGATGCCATTAAGTATGAATATGGTAGACCCTGAATGAATGAGATCAGTTCAAATACAGAGAAGAGATAGCCTGGAAGTCACAAAAGGTGGAGGGGTGGCCCCAGTCCTCTGCCTTGGAACAGAGCCCTGTCATTCATAAGGCACTTACATTCATTCACCTTATCCTTTTTATGATCCCCACTGGGTGGGGATCAGAGAGGCAAAGTGATTTCTTGATTTACTTGATTTCTGAGTCCCATCTCTTTCCTGTCCTCTGTGGCTGCCTGGTGGTGTGACTTCTGAGACAAGTCTATCGCTCTGATCCACAAGTCCAGCACCTTCCGAAATCCTGCTCAGCTCAGCAAATCTGCCAAATCGCAGGGCAGGCTGGCCCCAGCTGGCCGGCTCCCACTGCCCCGGGAGTGGTCCCACCATCTCTAGCCTCCACTTCCTCCACTGCCCCAGCCTGTGACCTCAGAGCCACCTGGCAGAACTGGTGGCTGCGGTGATGGTGGGGGTGCCGCCCAGGGGCCGAGAAGGATGTGGTTCTTTCCCAGACATGGGATGAGGTGGGGAGCAGCTACCTGCACCCTTTGAGCAGGTCTGTAGTTCCTGTGGTTTGTGTAGGCACCGAAACCTTGGGGGGGGGGGAGGAGGAGGGGGGGGTGGCAGGAGAGAGGGCAGCAAGGCCTGGTCCAAGCAGCTGGAGCTCTGCGGCCTGCCCCACCCTGCCCTTGGCAGTTCC